AAGGAAGAGCTGATACCAATCCTATTGAAAGCATTCCAGGTAATCAAGAAAGACAGAACCCTCTCCAAATCATTTTATGAAGCTAACATCACACTGATACCCAAACCAGGTAAAGACCCAACAAAGAAAGAACTACACACCAATATCTCTGATGAACATAGACGTAAAAATTCTCAACAAGATTCTAGCAAACAGGATACAATACATATCAAAAATCAACCACCATGACACCAAGTAGGCTTCATCCCCAGGATGCAGGGCTGGTTCAACATCCACAAGATCATAAGTGTAATTAAATACATCAACTGATGTAAAAACAAGAACCACATCATTATATCATCAGACACAGAAAAAACTTTCGATAAAATCCAGCATCCCTTCTTGATAAAAACCCTTGAACACCTAGGCATAGAGGGAACATACATCAAAATAGTAAGTGCCATCTATGATAAACCCACAGTCAACACATTGCTAAATGGATAGAAATTGGAAGCATTTTCCTGAAAACCAGAACAAGAAAAGGCTGCCCTCCTTTTCTACACAGTGTTGGAAGTCTTGTCTAGAGCAATCAGAGAAGAGAAAGAAATCAAGGGTATCCAAATAAGAAAAGAGAAGTTAAGTTATCCCTCTTTGCTGATATGTCCTATGCCTTGAAAACCCAAAAAAATCTGTCAAAAACCTCCTTGCACTGATTAAACACTTTGGTAAAGTCTCAGGGTACAAAATAAACATGCAAAAGATAGTCACATTCTTATACACCAATAACAAACAGGCATAGAACCAAATAAAAAAAACAATCCCATTCACAATAGTCACAAAGAAAATGAAAATCCTCAGCATCTTTCTCGCCTGAGAAGTAAAAGACCTTTACAATGAAAATTACAAAACACTGCTCAAAAGAATCAAAGAAGTCCAGGCACAGTGACTCAGCCTGTGATCCCAGCACTTTGGGAGGCCGAGGTGAGAGGACTGCCTGAGTCCAGGGGTTCGGGATCAGCCTGGGTAACTTGGTGAGACCTTGTCTCTACAAAAAATCATAAAAACTAGCCGGGCACGGTGGCATGCTTCTGTAGTTCCAGCTCCTTGGAAGGCTGAGGTGGAAGGATCGCTTAAGCCCAGCAGGTCGAGGCTGCGGTGGCCGTGAACATACCACTGCACTCCAGCCTGGGCGACAGGATTGAGACTCCAACTCAAAAAAACAAAAAAAGAAATCAAAGAAGACAAAAACAAATGTTCCATGCTCATGGACTGGAAGAATCAACATTGTTAAAATTCTATCCTACCCAAGGCAATCTACAGATTGCCATTAAATTACCAATATCACTCTTCTCAGAACTGGAAACAACAATACAGAAATTCATATGGAAATGTAAACGACCACAAGTAGCCAAAACAATCCTCAGCAAAAGAAATGAAACAGGAGGTCTCACACATCCAGACTTTAAACTTTATTATAAGGCTACAATAATCAAAACAGCTTGGTATTTGTACAAGAAAAGGCATATAGACCAATGATGGTAAACAGGATAGAGATTCTGAAAGTGAAACCTCAATTTCTCAACCAATTCATCTTTCACAAATCCTCCAACAACAACTACTGGGAAGAGGAGAACCTATTCAGTAAATGGTGCCGGAAAAACTGGCTGACCACATGCAAAAGACTGAAATAGAACTCCTACCTATCACCATTCACAAAAATCAATTCCAAATGGATCAAAGACCTAACCGTAAAACTTCAAACTCTAAGAATCTTAGAAAACACAAGAGACACCCTTAGGGAAACTGGAATAGGCAACCAATTCCTGACCAAAACTCCAAATGGCCATGCCATAAGAGAGAAGATAGACAAGTGGGATCTCTTCAAACTGAGTAACTTCTGCAAAGTAAAAGAAACCATCAAGAGAGTGGGGACAGCCCACAGAATGGGAAAAAAATATTTGCCAATTATATATCCGACAAAAGTTTAACATCCAGGATGTACTGAAAGGAAAAAAACAAACAGCCCTAATTAAAAATGGGCAAAACATATGAATAGACACTTCTCAAAAGAAGACATACAAACAGCCAAGGATACATGAAAAAATGATCAGTCTCACTATCATCAAAGAAATGCAAATTAAAACCACACTGAGATACCACCTAACTCCAGTCAGGATGGCCATCATCAATAACTCAAAAAATTACAGATGCTGAAGAGGATGAAGGGAAAAGGGAATGCTTCTACACTGTTGGTGGGGGTGTAAACTAGCACAAACAACTATGGAAAATAGTGTGGTGATTCCTAAAAGATCTAAAATTCGACCTTCCTTACAACCCAGTAACCCCCCTCTGGGAACTCAAATCACTCTATAAAAAGGATACTGCACATGCATGTTTAGTGCAGCATTATTATTATTATTATTTTTTGAGTTGGAGTCTCACTCTGTCGCCCAGACTGGAGTGCAGTGGCCGCTCCCAGCCACCGCAGCCTTGACCTGCTGGGCTCCGGCGATCTTCCGCCTCAGCCTTCCAAGTAGCTGGAACTACATGCGCACACTACCACACCCGGCTGATTTTTTATTTACTGTAGAGATGAGGTCTCGCCAAGTTGCCCAGGCGGGTCTCGAACCTGCGGGCTCAGGCAATCCACTCACCTCAGCCTCCCAAAGTGCGGGATTACAGGCTGAGCCACCGAGCCCGGCTTCTGCAGCATTATTCACAACAGTAAAACCATGCTGCCCCTTGAAAGTGGACTGGATAAAAAACTGTGGTACATGTACATGATAGAATACTATGCAGACATAAAGGACAAAATTATGGACTTCGCAGCAACCTGGATGAATTTAGAGTAATACTGAGTGATCCTTCACTGAAACAAAGAACTGAGTACATCTTCTCACTCAGAAGCAGACCCTGAACATTTATCATAATACTATAAGAAAGGGATTGGCAGTAGTGGGAAACTGCTAGGGTAGGGAGGGGGCATATAACATCAATAAGGGTACTTAAAACCAGGCGAAATGGGGACCAAAGGGAGACCCAAACTTCACCTGTACTTAATGTACTTAATCCTGAATTGTACCTCACATCTTTAAAAATAAAAAAGTCATGTTATTTATAGCTTCACCTTATGTGACCAAGAGGCAAAAGAATCACATGGCACAACACTGGACTTGGGAAATCCTGGAGGAAAAAACCAGCCAGTGCAAGCAGAACTCCTCAGTTGCTTAGCATCTGACTAGGTCTTAGAATAGTGGAGAGGTTTCAAAGCTGTAGGAATAGAAAAGCCAAAGGAAAGATGAGCAGGATACATTTAGGAAACAAGGTGAGAGTTCGGACTTTGATGAAGAATAAGTAGCTAAGACTAAACTGGGAACATGGTGGGAAACAGCCTAGATGACACCCTGTAGAGAAGAAGCAACTGTATGTGATCAAACAGCACTGATGTGATCAAAAGGTTCGAGGAAAATTAGCCAGGAAGCAACACTTGAAGGAACCGGAGTGAGAAAGATGTTCACTAATTCGATCTGATGAAGAGAGACAGCATGAAGGCAGACAATGGAGAAGAAAAGACAGGTCCTGGAGACACTGTGCAGAAAAACCAAATCCTGGATTGACTTCTAGAGCACTGGTGATGAGAGAGATGATGGCCGTGAGTGCCCGTGCAAATGGATATGCTGTACACAGATAAAACAACATGAGAAGAGGCAGCAGATTTAGTATGGAAGATGAAAAATCTTAAATGTGATTCTAAAGTATATTAAATACTTAAAGTCCAGGCTAAAGATATATTCTACTCCCATTTAAATTGTTTTTGCTTTGTATTCATATGGAAACAAGCTTTTGGGGAAGAAAATCAGTTTTTGAGGAACTCTTGCGGAAAATAGCATGTATTATCCAAGGCAGTTGTTGAAAGCTGTGACTCCTGTGCTGCTATCATTTCCCCTTGAACTTCCCAGTTGCTTTCCCAGCCCTGAACTCTGATTTCTAGCACCTTCAGCCAGGAACCCTTTGTTTCCCCGACCCTGTCTCTCTTTGCAGCCATACAATGGGAGATATGCAGCACCTTGGCCCAGGAAACCACACACTTGCAATACTTTTGCCTTCCAACTGCAATTTCAGAGATTAAATTCTGTGTCCTCTGGCTTTTGTTTTTCTTTGGATGTGGATTCAGGGTTTTAAATAGCTCTTATGGCCAGGGCAGTGGCTCACACCTGTAATCCAACCACTTTAGGAAGCTAAGGTAAGGGAACTGCTTAAGCCCAGGAGTTCAAGACCAGCTGGGCAACATAGCAAGAACTTTTCTCCACACAAAAAAAATTTTTTTTAAATGAGCCGGCTGTGGTGGCATGCTCCTGTAGTCCCAGTTACTTGGGAGGCTGAGATGGAAGGATCACCTGAGCCCAGGAGCTCATGGTTATAGTGAGCCGTGATCTTACCACTACACTCCAACCTGGGCAACAAAGTGGGACCTTGACTCAAAAAAAGAAAAGAAAAAAATTGTTCTTTTAAAAAATCTTGGTTTTTATATAGTTATCAGCTGTTGGTTCACGGGACCACCTTACTCCTCTACCATAATGGAAGCCCTGTGTTCTCTGTATTCAGTGATAAACCTAACACAGGAAAAACTTTGAAGGTCAACATTCTGCAGGATGAGGTAAATTCAGATATAAGGCCATAGACTTCTCTTCCTAGCCCCACCTCTTTTCATCAGCCTTGCAATAACACAAGTTCATATTTTATGCAACTCAATTATTTGGACCTTCATTTTAACATCATAGTAGAATTTTTCTATCCATTTACATAGAAACAGATGAACATAAGGCATTAAAAGTTCTGGAAGGATATACACTATAATGTTAATAGTGGCTATCTCTGGATGGTGAGGTTATATATGGCATTAATTTTCTTTTTTACTTGACTTTCCTAACTTTTAAATCACTATGGAATAACAAATTAAAATTTAGAGAAAGCTTAACATATGTCATCTGATGTAAAGACAAATGGGTACTTGTACTCACCTGACAAAACGGTCCACATAAGGCATTGCAAAGAATCGTTTCCTGTTGTATCTTTTATTCAGGTACCAAGGTATAGGCCACTGCTTGAACTTGTGCCTGCCAAGAAAACAAAAAGTTATTTGCCTTGTAGAAAACATTTAATACATTTTCACTTTCCTAGTAGAAAATAAAAAAAAAAATGTTTAGTGATAAACGCTTTTCTCTTTTCTGTGTTAGATTAGATGGTTATAGACCGCCAGGCTATTCCCCTGAATTTGGCTCCAAGCAGCCCCATTACTACAAACTCCATCAAAAGAACACATCAAATGAGTAAGTGCTATTAAGCGTATAATGTCATGAATACAGGGAAGGTTTTAACCACCCAAAATGCCTTCCCTATTTTGCTGACTGATGTTTAAAATTCTAACAATGCTTCATCTTAGCTGTTGACCCCAAATGTAAATAATCCCCCAGAAGAAAAGTGTGTGTGTGCGCGCGTGCGCGTGTAAGTATGTGTGTATGTGTATTTATTTATTTAGTCATTAATTTATTTATTTAGAGTCGCAGCCTCACTCTGTTGCCCATTCATTCATTTACTTAGAGTCAGAGTCTCACTCTGTCACCTAGACACGATCATGGCCACCGCAGCCTTGACCCACTGGGCTCAGGCAATCCTTCTGCCTCAGTCTTCCAAGTAGTTGGAACAACAGGTATGTGCCACCACGCTCAGCTAATTTTTTGATTTACTGTAGAGACAAGGTCTCACCGTGTTGCCCAGACTGGTCTCGAGCCTGTGGGCTCAGGCAATCCTCTCGCCTCCACCTCCCAAAGTGTTGAGATTACAGGCAGGAGCCACCACTCCTGGCAGAAAAGTTTATTTACACCAGACCTTCTCAATTATTTATACCTCAGAGTGAATGTCAGATCCTTTCCCAAACTCTGACAAGACTCTGGGATCTGGATGTAGAAGAGACAAGGAGGTATAATAAACTGCTTCATATTTGGCCTAAGGCTTATCTTGATGGCTATGGAAGCAAACAGAAACTGGCTCATGTGACCTTATTTCTTGAGAACTTTTTTTAATAGTCCCAGGTTCTCAATGGGCAAAGACGGCAGGTGTACGTCCTGAAGTTACCTTAATGGGATTTATAACCTTCTGAAATTATACATGAACATGAACATTTTTGGGGGGAAAAGGATACATAACTTCCATCAAATTTTCAAAAACATTAATCAATTCACATAAGATTAAGAACCACTATAATAAAGAACCTATAGATAACTGAATCATGGGAATGAGATGTCTGGGCTGGTGTTGGTTTTACCAGATAAAGCTACCTTCATTCGTATCCTTTGGTATTCCAAAGGAGATTGAAGCCTATGTATGGTGAGAATTTTCTTAAAAAATACTGGGCAAGGGAAGGAGGCATGGGATCTTCATTTCTATTTTAGAAGAGTCACAGAGTAATCTACATACCAAATGATTCTTCCAAAAATGTCTCTTCTCCAAGCACCAGGTCTAGCATTTTCTTGACCAGTCTGAAGAAGCCTTAGGGCATCTTCTCTTTCCTGAACAACTTTATCTAATGCATCCATGGACTCTACTACCTGAGAAGAGAATAGAAAGATACAATTTCAATAATCACCTATAACAAAATTCCAAAGAAAGAGAGCACACAATGATTCATGCTGACTGAGCATGGTGGCTCATACCTATAATCCCAGGACTTTGGGAGGTTGAGGCAGGAGGACTGCTTCAGAACAGGAGTTCAAGACCAGCCTGGGCAATATAGCGAGACCACATCCCTACAAAAATTTAACCAGGCATTGTGGTGCACGCCTATAGTCCCAGCTATTCAGGAAGCTAAGATGGAAGGATCACCTGAGTCCAGCTGGTCAAGGCTGTGGTGGGCTGTGATCATGCTACTGCTCTTCAGCCTGGGCAACAGAATGAGACCCCCAACTCAAAAAAAAAAAGACTCAGGCTACAGAAAATATGTGATGAATAGTGATGCCAAAGAACTACTCTGTCAAGTATGCTTACACTTGGCGTAAGTATATACAAACAGGTATCTACATTATCGCTTTCTGTAATTTTTGAAAAGCTTGTAGTTTTACTTGAATGAAAATTTATTTAGCTTAGATATCCATATATTAGTTTTGTTTGGAGTGGGATACACTCGTACAGATTTCTTTCTAAGACCCAATTTGATTCATGCTATTTCAAAACTCAGTGAGCTAATAGGAATTGAAAAGTTTGTTATTTTTGTTATATTAAAAAACATGTTTTGGCCTCAACAAATCTCTGTGTTCCTGACATGTACCACAGATATTATGGCCTGCTTGATAGCTGTTGCTGTTACAGGAAAGGAATGTCAGTTTATCTTGATACTAGAGTAATCTCCAAAGATTCATCAAGATGCAAGATGATACAATTAAACTTGTATTTATTTTTACTTCTTTAAGATTTCTATTGCCAGGTGCAATGGATCACACCTTTAATCCCAGCACTTTGGCAGGTGGAGGCAAGAGGATTGCCTGAGCCCACAGGTTTGAGACCAACCTGGGAAACTTGGAGACCCTGTCTCTACAATAAATCAAAAAATTAGCTGGGCATGGTGGCACATGTCTGTGGTTCCAGCTACCTGAAAGGTTGAGGCAGAAGGATCACCTGAGCCCAGCAGGTTGAGGCTGCAGTGGCCATGAGTATCCCACTGCACACCAGCTTGGGTGACAGAGTGAGACTCCTACTTAAAAAAAAAAAAAAAAAAGATTTCTATTTTTTGTAATATACATATTTGTAGAGTAGTAATATATTTACGAATATTCATAGATTGGGGATTATAACATCGGATAAGCCAACCTTTCCCATAGTTCTAAATACACACTGTAAGCCCTTTCATATGTGTGTATTATCCTTGAGAATCACAACAGGTATCAGACACTGCATAATGTGTTTTTAATAAGAATCCTCAAAGAAAGTGCACATTAGATTATAAACATAATCCATCCCCCAGTTAGCTATGAGAGCTGACAGAGAGGTAAAAGCTACACATTTGGATACATACCTCATAACCTGTTTATTCAGTTTGTACTCAGCACTTGTGCTGTTCCCAGCTTCCCTCACTGCCTTATAGTAGCCAAATCCATATATCCTTTTCTCAACTATATATGAATTTCTACATAATCCTTGAGAAATAAAAAATAGGTAAGACGAATCCTATTGTGAAGACAGACAAGATTAGGAGAGTGAAGGGACCACACTGTTAGAACTTAATGCAAAGTTCTCTAACCTTTCAGAATTTTTATTAAATTTAACTACACTAAGAAGTTTGCCCAAGTAAGGGTGGGGCTTGGGGCTCCTAACTGAAATCTAACAAAGATAACAAAGCTCACAAAGATATAAAGTTAATGGCTGGTAAGACCACAGTTAACATTCAAATGTTCATGCCAACAGATGTGAAGGCAAATCAGAAGTATCAATTAGATACACCTTACTTAAAACAAGTCAACCTCAAAGACTTGTTTTGTTTGGAGACTTCTCTAACCTATAAATTTCTCAGAGCCCAGAGCATCAGCTGAGAGAATATAAAGTTAATGGGACTAAGAGTAAACACTTCTATTTGTAGCCAGGAATTAAATTTAGAGTGTAGTCTTGAAACACTTTTTTTTTTTTTTAAAGCAGGATTTATTGAGAGGACAGAAAAACTCCCACAGTGGGAAGGGACCTAAGGGGGTTGCTCTTTTTTTTTTTTTGGTAAAGATGGGGATTTTCACTATATTGCCCAGGCTGGTCTCAAACTCCTGGTCTCAAACAATCCTCCCACCTAGGCCTCCCAAAGTGCTAGGATTACATGTGTGAGCCACTATACCTGTCCCCATTTTTTAAAAAAGAGCCTAAAATAAGTGCACTTGTAAAATTATAATCAGTCTTTTATCATTTGCCTTGTTTCTGTATTTCAACACAGAGACTAACATAATGTCATATCCTTCTGTGATCAACAAGTACAAATACTTGAAAGAAAAGCTCATACAGTCTGGGTCTTTTATCTCGAAGGGGAATCTAGTTACTTTAGTTACAATCATACCTAACTATTCTGCCTGAATTGCAAAATCTCTCTCTAAATTTTAATATCATTCTGTAACTAAAACTTGTCTGTAATATGCTTGAACTGGGTATCATCAACCCAGATCAGTCTAGTGATAAGAATTAAATCCCAGTTCTCATTTTCTTTTTTGCACTTCCTTAAACAGTTCCAAATCTTCAGTTTATGTATTGAAAATAATTCCTTTTTTATTTTTGCTTGATGGTTTCCTAAGTAGAATGTCACAAAACACTGGGAACGCTAAATATAGCTAAGATTTTTTTTTTTTGAGTTGGAGTCTCACTCTGTCGCCCAGACTGGAGTGCAGTGGCCACTCCCGGCCACTGCAGCCTCGACCTGCTGGGCTCTGGGGATCCTTCCACCTCAGCCTTCCGAGTAGCCGGAATTACAGGCGCGCGCTACCACGCCCAGCTAATTTTTTAATTTATGTAGAGAT